CTTTCCCTCCTCCTCCTCTCCTCCTCCTCGCTGTCTCTTTCACTGTGAGTGGCTGTGATCAAGGCTGCACCCAGCGTTCATTAGCCAGAGACGGAACTGGAACCATTTACACTTTGAACACTTTACGGGTCGGGACACTGATGAACAGAGACAGTGACAAAAACTACACAGGAAAAATACTACGGTTCAGTTTGGACTGTGAGGAAACAGCCGGAAATAATGTGTGGAAGCATCGGAGCGAGGGTCCCACGGATGGTGGGAATCTGAAGTGGAGTGGACTGGGAACGACCAAGAGGGTGGAACAGACACGGGCGGAGGAATACTGTAAATTGGTTGGAGGAAATGCATGGATGAACAACAGAAAGAGGGGGAAGGAAAAGTGTTCGGAATCTCTGACTCCAACCTTTGTAAGAACTTAAAAAAAACGTACGTTAACACAGTGGTAACATCATAATATAGGACATAAAAACATCAGAAAAATCTGACTAAAAGGGAATGTAGCACTAGCCAATGTATGGCGTTTAACTAGCGTATGTGACCGAAGCGTGTAGCGCCGCGAGACGACAAGATAAAGTGTCCTTCATGTCCAAGAGACGTGTCTTTGTCATCGTAGACCAGTGGTCACCAACTATAAGTCGCTTCCAAGTATAAGTTGCACCAGTGGCCTCTAGTGTATATTTTAATATATGTCGCACCTTAAACTTAAACTTAAACTTAAACTTATCCTGTTATAATATATGTCACACCTGAGTATAAGTTGTAAACCGAGCCAAAGGATGAAAAAAATAGTGCGACTTATACTCCGAAAAATACAGTCATTTGTACAGGAAGTCTGTATCAAACAACATAAAGTAGCTGTTCGTATTAATAAGTTTCCTTAAAGAAGCTCAAAAAGGTCGGTGACTCCTGTCTTGGACCGTGACGTTGCTCGATCTGTGTTAGCATGTTTCAGTTGACATAAAAAAAAAAATCTTCCTCATAGTTGAAGTCTTTCATTTTTCCCTCCTTCGTCAGTAGCTGCTCACTGTGGGAGTTTCCCTCCGTAACATTGTTAGGCCTTGACCTTAATATGTTAAGTGCTTTGAGATAATGTATGATAGTAAAGTGTAATTTGGCACCTCACCAGCAGAGCTGAATTAAATTAAATGTGCTTGGATTATAGCGAGGCAGAAATCAGCCGACGAACTAAATTAAGATTATAGCGAGGCAGAAATCAGCCGACAAACTAAATAAAAAAAACAAAAACTCTGACTCACACAGTACACACATTACTCTAGATTACACACGAGTTAATTGATGTCTTGTGTATTGGCAGGCTGAGTAAAAAGGCAGTGTTCTGTATGTAAATACAGTCATTTCAAAGTGTTTCTACGCTGGTATTTAATGAAGAGCCTTTTAAATAAAACGACCAAAAAACACTGCGAAAATAAAAGAGCCTCGCGACCGTTCCGTTAATCGTCTCGTTTGGTTGCGAACGTGTCTGTGTTAAGGTGGCGTTCATTAAACAGCTGATGACGCCCCGCAGTATCAGGAAACAACCCTTTGGGTAATTATACACCTCACTGCCAAAATCCTACTTTAGCTGCTGGATATTAGCCACGTTATTACGTCTCCGCAGCACAAACATCCAAACATCCTCCATCAGTGGGAGTCTGATGGGTTCGCTGATCAGTTTCTCAAATCACTGATTGCTCTGCCAGGTGGCTGCGATATGTCACTCCTGTATACTTTGCTGTGTATTAGAAAATCACCGTTTTGTGTTGAATTTGTTCTCTCTCCCAGCGTGGCTTGTAAATGCTTTGTTGCACACAGCGTTTGGCTTGTAGGAGCTCGTCCACCTCCAAGTACAACTCCAGTATGGAATGGCTGCCACATTTCAGTTCCACTCGGAATATTTAGACGAAATATTTGCAGTGAAACACTTGTGTTTGTCAAGACACGGCTCGTCGTTTCCTCTCAAGCAGGGACGTCACAGTCAAATCTCTACAAGCCAGGTCAAAATGTAGTAGTATCTCTAAACCAGGGACGGAGTTGAGGTTCAAAATCAGTTCAGTGTCAGATAATTTGGTGCATTTTATGTCTGTCGTCACCTAGTGGCATCAACAGAAATCACGAAAGAGAAGCATTGATGTCAGTTTTTACCAAAGCTTGTACCAGGTATTACACAGAACCAAACTTAGAATGCTGAATTTCAATATTTGACACCATGTTTTAGTAAGATTTACTAAGACTCAAGTGACTCTGTAAAGGACCACCATCTGGTCCTCTGGCCACGTTTTGACATCATCGATCTACTGTAACAATTCAAGCAGAGGACACTGAGTGCCAGAGGTCTTGGAATAAGAGAGAACATTTAATTTTCTCAGTTCTTGAGCAGATTTAAATTCAACAGAGACGTTAGATCATTAGTGTTCTAATTACACATGCAGGCTGCAGGCTGTAATCTCACACTGACGAGATTCAACCATGGTGGAAAAAAAGTGCACGAGCGGTTCCCTCTCTATGTCAGCAAAGTAGAAAACACCTTGTACATATATAAAAAAAGTATTTGTAGGGTCTTACCTGTGTACTACTGCAGTCACCTGGACTTCAACCACCTGTGAGTCAGGAGTGTCTGGAAGGAAAGGACAGAAACACGTGGTCAGGTTGGAGGTGCAGTCAGTCACAGATGCTGGAGTTCATAACTAGTGGAGGTTCTTCAATCATCTGGTACTTTCACCTTAAAGTTCTCACACTAGAAAATGACTAATGTTTCAGTTTGAGAGTCAAAGAAAAGGATTGATTTCTAAGCAGACGGCGTGAAATGCTGGTGGAAGAAACCGCTCCAGGACTTTGGCTCCGACGACGACCATCAGTCACAAACTTAGTCGAGGGTTTTCTTTGCCCCACACGGATCACAACACCGTTTAGGAACACAGTCGTTGTACGAGTGTGATAGAGTGTTGCTGAAAATCAGCTCAACAACGTTTGTTTGTTTTGTAAATGGGGTGGACTCACTGGGTTTTCACCAACCCAATCTGAACATTCTGATTTGCTGGTTTCTTCGTCGTTTGTTTGTTTTGGGGTTTTTTTAACAGTAAACGAGCAAAAACAGGAGCTGTTTGAAAAAGTTATATCAGGAAGAGGTAAAGGGGGTGGACTCGTACAGAATCTTCCATCTTAGTGGATCAAGACGAGATCTTTTCTTTCAAACGTACAAACTGTGAACAGACCAAACTGCTTTCCTAAAGCTGGAGTTGTCTGACAGACACTCTGAGTAAACATCTGTTTACTGTCTTCATTTAGATTCTCTCTGTAAACCACAGCTGCCTTCACAGGTGGATGCTTCTGTCCAATTTCCACACAGTAATGTAAAAAGATTAAAAAACTTTGGGAGATCCTCATCTCTGTTTCCAAACCCTCTCCTCTGCTCCTTTAGTGCTCGGTGAAACAATCGCGATATCTGGCTGATGTTATCGCCCAGGGATGGATTTATCTTGATTACTATCCAAAAGCTTGTTTTTCTAATGGGACCTGGAATTCATTTTTATCTCCCAGCGGAGAGAAGTTTCAGGTCGGTTTGCCGCGGTTGGAAGATAACATCTTCAGAGACCAAAATCAGGGATGATGTCAGTACAGGGAAAAACCAAGGAGGAAAACTGAGAAGGAGACGTGGGAAAACAGAGAGTGGTTGTGAAAGGGGACAGAGATTAGCAGGGAAAAACAATCAGAGAAGGAAGTGAAGCGAGGACGGCTTCTTTAAATTGTTGTTTCACTCTCTCTTCTCTGAGACGCCATTTTGCTTCGGCTCTCTGCCTGCAGAGTTGTTGTTTCTTGTCGACGACGTCTGATGTTTTCAGTCGTCCAAGAGCGTTTTGATCAGGTCTGACACGGCGGCTCTCTGCCTACAGCTACCTACACCTACTGTCATCAGCATCCACAGATCTCTCTCCTGCTGCGTTTCTCATTGTTATTAGACATGGTGTCAGCTCCACTTCCATCACTTATCGTCCTCTGATTCTGTTCCTTTAACAGTTAACAGTTCACACCTCCCTCCTCTTTAATGTTTCTCTTTCCCAGATTTTCAGATCTGTGCCTCGGAAACTGTCGCTGTTTGAATTTGGTTTGGACTCATTCTGAGTCTGCTGCAGAAAGTTTAAAAAAAAGAAAGAAAAAAAAAAACCATTAAAGAAGACGGTTGTTTTACAGACTGTGACTATGGGACGCTTGGGTTTTATCTTTGAGTCGTAACCCAACGATGATGTACCGTAAATCAGGCTGCTTTTTATGTGTTTTAAAAACATATTCAAAGAACGTTTATGTCACAAAATATATCAGGTATATTTTAGTTTAGTTGTACTACGCTGGTACGCAGTTTCAAGGTGTTACTTCATCTGTAGTTAAAACACTGCAAATTAAGACCAATATCATTTAATCCAAAACTAGTTACAGCAGTGAATTCTAGTTTATAGTTTGTTTGTAAAATCCAGGTTCAGACAAACGACCTCTGATCTGACCATAACACAAACAAAGAGTGACCTTTGACCCATCAATAGACATTAGCTGTCCAGGCTAAGTAAGAGTTGATAATGATGGACGGGCGCTGACCCGACGATCCACTGGTCACCCCCTTTTTGTTCTCCATTTGTATCCAATATCAATCAAATCCATTGGAGGGGCATTCATAAACAGGTCAAAGGTCAATTCTACACCAGCAGAGAGATTAGTTATCATAGAGTGGACAATGAAAGGTCAACAGTGAGGAGGATTCCATCAGAGGTCGTCAGCAGTCGAGCGTCAATAAAATCTGCCTCCAAACATGAAGATAAATGACCAAAAAAACTCTTCATTCGTCAGCTGTGACGGAGGAATCCACAAATCTGTGGTCATTAGGAGAACAACGACACTGATGAATTAGACAAAAAAAAAAAATCTATATATTTTTAACTGAACAAATAATCGTTTGGTTTTTGTCTTTATGAGGACAAACAGACCAGAAATAAAGTTTGATCAGTGAAAATAAAATGAGACATAAATATTTGATCATATATATACACTAAATATACCTATTATACACATATGTTCAGAATAAAAATACACTGTTTGAGTCTTAGTGAACCATTTACTAACTTTTTAAAAAAACTCTTTCCTTAAAAAAGCCTTTAGAAATTATTCACATTTTTGGTGGTGTAAAATTTATTTAATAAAATCCAATAAATGTACGATAAATTTAATTAAATAATAAACAAATAAATATTTGTTAATCTGGAAATAATCAAAGGTTTATTGGATCAATGTAATCCACACCCTATGACTAATTAAACCTACAGCTTAGACAAAAAACAAAAAAACAAAACCCACCAAAATTAAACATTCACATCAGATTTATCATTATTTTATTTATTTAATTTTTTTTTTTTTATGATAATGGTACTTGCTGCCGACGTGGCCTTTTCCTGCAGCCAAACGTGCTGGAAAAATATCAGACATCCTAACTCTGCCTCCGGACAACCTTTTCCCAGAGATGGATTACCTGGATTAGTGGCACTCTGTGTTTCATTTGTCAGAACGTATGTCTCCGGTGCGACAGTACGCAATGGTGACTTTTATGTTGGAAAGTCTATTAAAGAAAAGGCAGCAGGACCATGAGGGGGGAGGAGGGGGGGGTGAGGTGGCTCTTTAACCTGCCGCCATCTGTTACTGGCACCTGATTCAGCAGAACCTCCGACACCTTGGCCTGAAAAAATCTTTGATCAAGATCCCTGTAATTACTGCTGGGGTCTGAGCTTCAGTGGTGCACGAAGTTCAGACAGGAGGAAAGTAGAGCGAGCCGGTCGAGTCACGGGACAGTCTGGGACGTAGAAGGACGCAGACGTGGACATAGACGTGGACACGTGGACACAGACGTGGACGCAGACGTGTGACGCAGACGTGTGACGTAGATGGACTTAATTAATGAAGTAATAAAAGTAAAAACACTAGTCAAATTCACTCCTAGTGGCTGTTTAGAAAAGTGCAGGTTAGTAGTAATCCAGCTTTTGTTTCCAACTTCTAATATGAGAAAATATATTGTTTTTAGATTTTATTTTATTTCTTTTTTATTTGATTCTTGGCATAAGTGGGAACTTGCATGCTGTGTCACTCACCAATGCTAACGTAATGGTGACATCATAACATAAAATCATCAGAAGAGTCTGACTTAGGCCTGGGAGCCGTAACGGAGGGCAAAAAGTTCCAGAAATTAGGAAAAGCCAATCTGGCACAATCTAATGTAGCGTCGTCTTCTACGTTTACAGGACCTTCTTTATAAAAGAACGGTAGATGGCGATGTAACCACGAATCGCTGTAGGTGGAGGTCGTCATAAACTGAGGACCCCTGTTTTAATAACCTACTCCACCCGTCACTTCTCTGTTCATGTTCTTCCTCCATTTTTATTCGCCCGCTCCGTTTTTTCCTTCCTTTCTGTTTCATCTTCTCTCCTAATAGGATCCTCCTTCAATTAGTTTCCACCTTCCCTCCTCCTTCCTCCTCCCTCCTCCCTCCTACCTCCTTCCTCCTCTCCCTCTCACCACAGTTTCCCACTGAAGTCGTGACTACCCCCCCCCCCTCCTCCCTCTGCAGCTCATTTTTTCCCTTCATTTATCTTTCATCGTTTTATACCTACATTCAAGATCACGACTCCGTCCAGAGAATTCCGACAGGGAAACCTGGGGCCGTACGGTGTAAAGTAGAACGGAGTGTGAGGAAAGGGAGAGACCCCACGAATGGAAGAAGTCATTACATTTAATCATCGCTGTCTTTGACCTCCACCTCAGACCTGTGCCTACAGGGAACGTTCCACTGAGTTCCTTAAATGATGAGGTCACACGTTTGTATCAAGAGGTAAATGTTAAACCTACGTTAATAATATCTGATGTAAATATATCTACTGAAGGTAAATAACAAGAAAGCCAGGTATTAAAAACAGATTTTACAAGAAATTTCAAAATAAATACTCAACAGTTACACTGAAGGAAAACTTTAAAGAATAAAACAAACACAAATTTAAACTTGAAACCATCCAAACTTGGACAACGTTCCAAAAGTCAATGTTTACCAGGAAGTGTTTTCTCAGTAGGAACAGTTACGTGTCCGTTTGTCAGAACCTGTTTTTACTAAAGGCAGTTCAGACTTGATGACAGAACATACCGTAGAAGAGAACGTCGACTTTTTCATTTTTATTTTATCAAAACTAATGAGGAGCTGTCCTTGATTACTACAGTATCACCTTCAACCTACCATAAAATTACTACTACTACGCTGCTGTAAGACTCTGAGTTCCCGTCCATCAAGCAGCGAACACACAGAGAACGTTGTTAGCCGAACATTTAAATCTGAGAAACGTCAACGCATATAAATTAGGAACACACAAAAATAAAATGTCAGCGTACGAACATTTCTACAAAAAGTTACTTTAGACTCAAATGTTTTGACCATTGAAGTTAAATAGAAAATAAAACCAGAAACACAGAAGAATAATGAGGGGAAACATTTTCAAGAAACCAAGAAATAAAACCAGAAACACAGAACAATAATGAGGTGAAACATCTTCAAGGAACCAAGACAGATAAGACGACCTGAATGACTGACAACCTACAAAGATTTATTCAAAGTTAAAAACGTACCCAGTACCAGATACAAGTCGTTCCTGATTCCTGGTTAACCCGTGTCCCAGCTGGAATAGAATAGACAAACGTTTGTTGACGGTTTTTCAGAGAAACCCAGGTTCAAGGAGTTTTTGTCTCTAAAACACACAAAGGAAAATAAATAGTTACTCGGACCGGTTCAGCCTGTGTCTCTGTCTCAGCCGTGTTTTCTTTCTGACGTTAAACACGTCAGCTTCACTGTCGCGAGGAAGTGAAATAGATGCAGTTCGTAGATGAAACGAGACAGATACTCCGTGTCCCTAAAGAAATGGAGATTGATTTTCTGATCTGAACTCTTGTGGTCGTCTCCCAGGACCAATTGTAAATATAAATAGACAGGCGATTTCAGACGGACCGTCACCTGGTTTACATCATGCTAAACAGCTGGAGTAGATGAGAGGACAGACAGTAAAGACAGCAAAGACAAATGGAGACGCACCATACTCCGCAAAGACGTGCACATTTGAAAAAACACACGCGACTGGTCGGAACCTAATCCTCTTTCAGGTCTTAAAGCGTCTCCTAACAGTTGGAAAGCTGGATTTTTGGTTTACATGCTGAGAGGATGATCTTTTTTTTTTCTCTCTTTCTGTAAAAACATAGAGGAGAGATAATAGAGAGGAAGAAAAAAGGAGAGGTGGGTGAGAAAAAGGCTGAGATACTGGGTTGACCAGAATGGAGCTGAGCTGAGCTGAGCTGGAGGGACGGAGTGTGTGTGTGTGTGTGGGGGAGTCAATCTGACCTAGAAAATGGGTTGCGTGGTAATCAGAGCCGAGGCGGTGGTAATTAGTTCTAAAAGCTGGTTAAATTTGACCAAATTTATGTTCGGTTGAATCACTGAAAACACAAATTTTGTCCTTCAGGGATTTTAGGTTTGAATCAAATTTCAAACAAACAGAAGTGAAAGAGTCCGATTTCAAAATGTCTCTGATTTTAGATAATCCGGGATTATCCTTGACTGGAGATAATCCAATGTCATCGGCCCCCACTGCACCATTTCTGCCTTTTTTTTTTAAACGGCATTTTTGAACATTTACATCTTATACAGTTGGAGTCTTTAAAACGGACTGTTTATTCTTCTTTCTTTGAGCTGCTGTTTTCTTTCTCATGTTCCCGGATCTTTCTTTGTTCAAATATTTATCATTCAACACACACACACACACAAACACGCGGTGCCTGTGATGACTCAGTGACCTTTCCAAACGTAGTGCCATGTTGCTGAGGTAACTGTGACGATAACTTCAGACTTTAGTTCCCATGGTTCCACCTGGTTTCTTGGTCGTCAGCCACTGTGTGACTGTCACCGACCGACACCGTGCGACACCGTGGAACCACAGTACGGTCAGAACGGACGCTGATGTCAGAACTGACGCTGATGTCAGAACTGACGTTGTGTCGTGTCTGCTGCTGTTTTCACGTCTGTGGTATGTTTATATATACTCCACATGTACTATATATGTACTGTATAAATACTCTGTATACTGTCCATTATTTAGACAGTACAGCTGCATGTCTGTATACACCGTGAACTACAGCAGGATGTGACACGTCTGTCTCAGTGACCGACCATCGTCTGTATTTTTGTCGGTGCTGCTTTAAGTAAACGTCCAGTTTTCACTCCTCACCCGTTCAGTCAAAGGAACCAAACATGTTTGTGACAACAGAGATGGAGGACATGGAGCTAAATTAAAAACTAGGAAATGTCTGCCGATCTTTATCGGGACTGAGACGAGTGCGTTTCATTCAATCAAAATAAAATATTTACAATAATAAGTCAATTAAAACGGCAGAAGCTGCCGATACGTTACTGACGTTTGTCTCTCTGTCAAAAATAAATCTGTAACGTTGTCACGTTAACAACCAGCAGCCAGGAAATGGTATTTTGAAAAGGAAAAAAAAAAAACAAACCAAAACAAACTAAGATTTTTTTTTTCCAGTTTTCTGAACAGCTGTATCAGCCAGCAGAACATTCTAGTTTAAATTCACGGCGTTAGCCTGACTCCCAGTCGGAGCCTCGGAGTTCGACTGCAGCGTTCCACTGGGACAATTAGCAGCTGAAGGAAGAGAGGATGTGTCTCATTAACTTTTGCTTTCTAATTGGCTCCCATCTTGTTTGGGATATGAAATGGCAGCTTTGCTTTGTGCCCCCCCCACTGCCCCCTGCCCC